CAGAAGTTGGTCAATCTCTGGGCAGGGGCATGACATTAGAGGAAAATGAAAGCAGGCTTCCTGAGATGGCTGTTTCTTGGTCCCAGAAATCTTTGCAAGGTGAAACAGTGGAAAGCATGGTGTCTGACCAAACAGGACAGGGGACGATCCAGGGGCCTTATAAAAAACCCAAGTCAACACCAGGTTATTGGACTTCCAGCTAATATTCGGCTTCTCACATCTTGAATACACGAAGTGGTTACTTTTCTCTGAGGCTTGGTCTTCTGTCTTTCCCAGCTGCTTGAGTCTTTGCGCCGTGGAAAGCATTGACAATCTCTGAGACAGCAGCCATCACTATTACAAGTGAAATTTAGATCCCCAAAGGTATAACTTAAATGTAAATTCCATCTAAAAATTTAACAGCTATATAACATTTAATTGGCTTGGCTATTCTGGAATTAAGAAACACTTCATTACATAAAATAGAGTAGGTGAACTCAAGATGCTATCTTACAAAATATCTGGACACTCCAGCCTAGCAAAATTGACATAAAATTATCCATGATGCTAAGCTTTGTAAGCGCTTACTCCCTCTGTGTACTGATGCAAGGGTTCTGACTTACAGTCCCATGAGGCAGTCTCATTACTATCTACTGTAGTAGCACTTATTCGTCAGCCTGCAAATAATGACTTATTAATTATGAAAGCCCTCCCTTAGCTCGAGTTTATTCCACTAGCTCTTATAATCTAAGTGAACCCATTTATATCCACCTACATCCTGCCACGTGGTGGTGTGACCTCATCTCCATACTTCCCATCCTGCTTCCTCAAGTCTGTCTGGCAACTCTGCCTTTCTTCTTCCCAGAGTTGTCTCTCTACCCAGAAGTCCCACCTACGCCTCCTCCCTAGCTATTGGCCATTCAGCTTTTTAATTACACCAATCACAGCAATACATCTTCACACAGTGTAAAAATATCCCACAACAGTCAGCCTCATTTTACCAGACAAAGTAAAGAAATGTTGAGCAACTTGCTTGAGGTCATACTGCTTGTAGATAGTTCACAATAGAACTTTCAGACTAAGTCTTAAATATTGTACTATTCCTTTCTCAAGAGAATGCAAACTGAACTCATTAGCTCTTTGTGTTCTTCTGTCTGTCCTTGCAAACATCCTGGCCCATCCACTAATGCATGTATCACATGTCAACTTTTGCAATTCTCACAGTAGCCCTTGATACAGTCAGCCTCTTCCTGCTTTTCTGGATGAGGAGATTTTGACACACGATGAAGGAGTGATTTGCTGCAGGCCTCAGTGCGGAGCACAGAGGATTTGAAACCTGGCTCAGTCTCTAACAGCTCATTTCTCCTGCCTCTCTGTGCATGACTATTAAGGCCAAATACTGAAAACATGTTCCTGATAAGTATGTTTTATAGATCTTGAGTTAGTTAACCAAAGTTGGCTTTCTGTTACGTTGCATCTCTCCCACAAGAGAGATCATACAAAGAGCTTAAGTTTCAGACCACTTTATGCCTCAGGGAAAAATATAGAGTGCAAAGCATGGAGGGGGGAGGAGGAGGGAAAGAAGAAGGAGGGAGTGGGTCGTTACCCCTGGGGGGGTCTAATGACCTTTCCCAGGGGTTACATTATGGTTCATAACGGTAGCAAACTTACAATTATGAAGAAGCAGTGAAAATAATTTTATGGTTGGGGTCACCAATCATGAGGAACTGTATTAAAGAGTCACAGCATTAGGAAGGCCAAGAATCGCTGACATATTAAGAATGGCTTTGTTTAGTGAAAGCGAGGCGATGAAGGCTTCCTGTTCCTGAAGCACTGAAATAGGAGAAGTAAGCAACTGACTTCAGTTAGAGCAGAATATCAACTATGCCTGTTGGTGAGTTTGACCAGATTTGCTTTCTGGCAAGCTCTTTCCTTAGAAAAGGAAATACAAATGACAAATGGGTGGCTTTGCAACTGGCTTGTTACACTGGAGTTAGGTAAGGCTACCTTTAGCCTGCTTTGAAGTGACTGATTGAAAAGCTTTATGCCAGGAGGCTGTTTCCCACGGGAGCCCAAGAAAAGGCAGTGTATACCGTGAGCTTACTGTAGATAAGGGTCATCGTGACCTAATGCTTGCCTCCTCCTCCTTCTCCTCCTCCTCCTCATCTCTCTGATAAGGTTTGTGTGTTAGAGGAGGTAAAGTCTGTCCTGGGTTACTATGAAGGATCCGAGCCTGGGTGTGCATTTGCACACAGAAATTCCCTCCCTCTCCTTTTCATTCTGAAACATACTGAAAACAATCTCCAAGAGAGAGAAAAAGGTGTCTGCTGAAACCACAGAGTGATATAGGCCACATTTATACCTGTTCACACAGCACACAACCATCAGCCCTAAACAGGACAGCAAACTATCACCAGGGAGTCTATAAAAGAAGAGCAACGTTGTGTCCAGGCTTCAGAATGAGAGAGCATGTCTTCTTCAGTGTTGGGGGAAAGACATGAAGGATGCTCTAGAGAGAACAGCACTGGGTAGCACAGGATCAGTACACCTACTTCTTAGAAGAAAACGTATAATATAGCAGTTGAAAGCATGACTATGAAGAAATCTTGACTGTTTATTTTCCCTTGGTGGGTTAAAGGGTCAATTTTTTAAAATAATTTTTTAAATTCAAATTTGAAACAAGCTTGTTTTACATATCAATTCCATTCCCAACCCCTCTCATTGTCCTCCCCTGTTCCCCCCACCAACCCATCCCCTTTCTGCTCCCCAGGGAGGGTGAAGTCTTCCATGGGGAGTCTTCAAAGTCTGTAATATCATTTGGAGCAGGGCCTAGGCCTTCCCCCCATGTGTCTAGGCTGAGAGAGTGTCCTTCTATGTGGAATGGGCTCCCAAAGTCCATTCTTACACTAGGGATAAATACCGGTCCACTACCAAAGGCCCCTAGACTGCCTAGTCCTCCTAACTAATACCCATGTTCAGGGGGTTTGGGTTGGTCCTATGCTGGTTTCTCAGCTATCAGACTAGGGTCCATGAGCTCCCCCTTGTTCAGGTCAGCAGAAACCTTGCCTGTTTAAGTGCTAGACTGACCACTTACAAACTAATTCTCAGGTCACTTTCTCAGTCTCTTTATCCAGTTTTATTAATCACAATACAAATGACAGCTGTTATTTTTCTTTCTGTTTTATTATCTTCAATTGTGTCTATGGGTTTTTTTCTGTGTGAAGGTATGTGCATTATGAACTGGTACTATCCTTGGAAGCCAGAGGCATTGGATCTCCTGGTGTTACAAGTCATAAGCTGCCCTATATGAGTACTGGGAATCAAACTAGGGTATTGTGGAAAAGTCATATGCGCTCTTTAATTCTGAGTTATCTCCAGCCCTCTTTCTGGTTTTTGGTTCTAGGGATTGTGTTCTGAAGGCATTGTGCATGTACTAACTATAATAGCTCCAAACTGGAAACTACTTCAACATCCATCATTTAAAAAATGTATAAATTATGATAAAATTGCAAATTTGGAAAAAAAATGCCAACCTGAAACTGTACAGCAATATGGAAGAATCTTACAAATACTTTGTTGAACCAGAGAAGTCAAACAAAAAGAGAATTCATAGGTTATAACTTAAAACTACATATCAAGAGTGGAAACAAAATTAACCCACTGTGTTAAAAGTCAGCATAGAGGTTTCCCCTGGAAGAAAGCAGTAAGTGCATGGCAAGGTGGAGGGTTCCTGGGTGTTTAATAACATTGTTTCTTGATCTGCTGTTAGCTACAAAGACAGGCTGCAGGCTGTGGGGATCCCTTGAGCCACATGCAATATGCACTTTTGCTGTATGTATGCTAGATCCAGTAACAATTCCAAGAGTTTCTGAAAATTGACTCCACCCAACAAAACCCTCAAGTCATCAACATGAACAACACTGTCTAAATAGATCAGTATAAAATGCACTAATCAACACAACTTAATCATTAATTTTAAGAATGTTTTTAATTGAAACTTTTTCACACAGTATATTTTGGGCACATTCTTTCTACTCCTACAATTCCTCTCAGGTCCTCACCACTCCCCTACCCACCCAACTTCATGCTCTCTGTCTCTGTCTCTCTCTGTGTCTCTCTCTGTCTCTGTCTCTCTCTCTCTGGTGCCCAAACAAAATAATCAAAACAAAAAGAGCCCAAGTAAGACTAAAAATATCAAAACAAAATGTGCTCACACAAAAACATGGAGTCTGTTTTGTGTTGTCCATGCCTGGGATCTGCCCTGGGATGTGGCAACACAGTCCAACCGGTATCTGCTATTGCCTTCTTGTTAGAACCATGAGCACTACTTGCCCTAGGACTCAGATCCCTGTATAAAAGCTGCCCTCCCCCCCCCAACCCTCTGTCTTCTCAATCCACACCTCAGCTGTTCCCTCTCTAGAAAGGCTTTATCTTTTACTCTTTTGTTTATTTGTTGACTTGCTTGCACTTCTTCCTGACTTGGCCAAAGATTCTAAGGGCAGTTTATCTGACTACCCGAGCCACTTCAGACCTCCAGGTCCTAGGCGATGCTTCCTTCACAAAGATGGAAATCCTTATGGCACGCAGGGCAGTTGTAAGTCATTCCAAAATGCCTGTTAGTACAGCCTGGAGAACACTGTTCTGTGATTTGTCGAAGAATGAGCAGGAAAGCTGGAAGACGTACAAGCGTTATACACAGCAAAGCGCGGCTGTCCTGTTCTCGATTTCTTGGGCTACAGCCAAGATACTTCTGGCCCAAGCAACACTCCCTCCTCCTGTGGCTGGCAAACAACAAGGTCCCTGGCACCTCCGATCCCAGGCCACCGCAGGGGGGCGGGGCGCCATGTCGAGCAGCTACTGGTCCAATTTACCGTCGCTCTGCTGTGCTCAGTTGGCAATCTGAGAGGTCAAATTGCCTGTACAGGAGGCTCGTTCCCATCTAGATCTGTGATTGGCTGAGATTGGGGGAAGGCTCGGAGCCTTACAAAGCATCAACTGGTCGGAGTTGCCGTCAATCATCAAGTGCAGACTCCACCCGGTCTCCATTTGGCCAAGCAGCTGAAAAAAATTTCGAGCATTTCCAGAGAGGAGATTGTGTCTTCTCTAATTGCTCGCTCTAGAGATCGGAATCTACAAGAGAAGTCAGTCTTACTTATCATCCAAGAAAGGCTTCCCTTTCTTTCCATTAGCCATTTAAGAAATTTACAGACACATAGCCATCACGAGGTAAGAGTCTGAAGAGTTCAATTCGCTCATTCCCCTAGGTTGTTGACGAGAATCTATTGGCGGCCCTCGGAATGGAGCGCTAAGGGAGGACTCAGGAAGGCGGAGAAATATGGGATGGGTCACCGCAGCTTCCTCCTTCTGAGGCCCCCACATGCATCTCTCCAGGATATGTGTGCGAGGTGGAGAGCAGCTGTTCACGCCGAGGCCCACAGCTGCTGCACCCCGGCATCCGCTCTTCCGAGGCAGCCGCGGTCGGCCTTGAACTTGACCTCAGGCTGCAAGTGAGCGTCGCGGGAGCGGGGCTAGTAGGATGGGCAGGGTCGTTGTGGGACGGACAGAGAAAGAGGGCAAAATCGAAGCCGCCCTGGATTGCCTGCTGAGAGGTCCCCCAGGTACGCTCCAGCCGGAAAGAGCTACTAAGCGACCGGTTTATCCCACATGAAGACCCGGGGTGTTCGGAGATCTGTTGGGCTGCGCTGGCCCGAGCCCTGCGGTGTCCTCTTTAGGTTAAGACTAGCAAACCAGCTCAGGACCCTGTCCAGCAGGGCTCGTAAGGCGACGGGTATAGAGAAGGATTGCAGAGCCCTAGTGATTTGGTTCTGAGAGCTTGTGTTTTGCTTTGCTAGGAGAATGAGCACAGTATCTTAAGGCCATGTGGCTCGTGGTGCCTTTTTTCCGCAGGCGCTTTCTGTAGATGAGATAATTCACCCAGAGGAAACAAAGATGAGGCTCTGAATAGACACAGCTAGGAAATATCGAGTCTCAAAAGCTCCGCTGGTGTTTTCGTTCTAGGAGTTGGAGGAATAGTAACAGCGAAGCCATTACCCCCACCCCAGGTGCCCCAACTGGGGAGAGCAGATGGGGCCTCTGTGGGACCAGTGGGGGCGGCTGGAGATCTGCAAGGCTGCGCAGAAGGGACGGTGTTGCCCAGCTAGTGTGTGTTGTAGTTTGTAGAAATTGAAAACCAAGTCACCGCTGTATGACAAATGTCATTGAATACGGAAGCTTTGGATAATGAGTTCTTGTTAATAACTGTTTTTCTTCCAATTCAAGCCTCTATTTCCTTGACAGCATCAGCACCCCTTTGACAGAATTGAATAACAAGTACTTTTCATTACTAATCTCTGTTCTCATGTCTAAACAAATGCTCACATACACTAGAAGCTCGCGGAGGGTTTTTCTTTCCTCCTTCCTGTAAACTAATACATTTTCTTCCCTCCTTTACCTAAAAGGTGGTAAAGACATTGAGTGCTGATTTGCTAAAATACATTTCAGAGGTTCTCAGATAATTGTAGTTGTTTATTGGGGTGCAGTGGGTTTTCATTGGTGATGATGGTAAAGAAATTTGGAGTTTAAGAATATTAAAAATCGGGCTGGTGATGTCACTTGGCCTTGGCCGGTGAAGTTGCCTGCTGCCAAGCCTGCTTGCCAAAAGTAGTAGAAGTAAATCTCCCTTTTGAACTGTTCTTGACAGTGATCAGTCGTTGAAATCAAGTTAAGTACCAAAACCTGCTATAGAGATAGCGCCTCCTTTTTTCCCAAAAATAAAATGCAGCAGCTCTGACAGTTAAACTGCTGGGCAAGTACTACATCGGAGAAATATGAAGAGAAATCGGTGCAGTGATCTTGCAGGTGTGTATGTGGGTTTACAAGGCACATGCACTTTTCAATCCTGGTGTTTTTGTTGTTGGGTTAGGGTCTCGGGTAGTCCAAGACTGGTGTTTAACTCCCGATGCTTCTGCCTCCACCCCAGAAAGTTCATAGGGGGGGGAGAACCCCCCACCCCCAGAGCTCCTTTCCTGCCCGAGATTGCTGCTCTGTAGAAGTCGGTTTCTCCAGTGCTGTCTTGAAATGACTCTGAAGATGACACGCCACAGCTTCTTTAACCTCTTTGGCTCAGACTCCTGCTAGATGGAATTACTTACATAGGGATAACTAGATTTCTAGATTTTAGTTCTCTCTTGTTTTCTTTCCAGTCAGGTTGAAGTATCAGGTTGTGGAGGAAGGTAAGGAGAAAGGCTTAGTCACACAAATCATTGTGGAAATGATAGAAAAGGAATATTTTCAGATATTTATTTTCAGTAGATAGAATATATAAGGTATTTTTAACCTAGTGCACGCACAAAATTAAAGATGGAAGTGATTAAATTGTGATACATTGTATGCATTTTTGTTTTGATTGGGGAATAAAAGACTTGAAATAGTTTGGACAAGTCTTTTTTCCCCTTTTATGTACAATTACTAATATATTCAAGATTATTACGTTGTATATCTATGATTCCAAACAAATTATTTATCTTTATTTTCTTAACATAATTTAAAGTTTCTTTATTGTTTGTAGACTATGTCATATGGATTTGTCTATATGATTTGTAATCTTTTACTTTTCTGGGATATTTTTATGTAGTAAAAGCAATAAAGGGTAATTTCACTTTGGAAGAGTAAATTTAAGTGTTTAAATGGTTTACTAACTTTGTTTGGCTTAGAGTTCTAATCCACAGATTTACATAATTCTCTCTGATTAGTAACAACTTGCTAAGTAATTGCTCTTACTTGACAAACTGATAAGCTTATCCCAGCTTGCTCTTGCTTGCTGGTTTGACAGAGATTTCTTAGGTGTGTCAGGCTGTTCTCCACCCTGTTTAAAGACACTAGGTTTAAAGACAACTTAGGTTGTTCTAAGTGTTTGTGGTCTTTCTCACATTCCACTCCCCTCATCTGCTCTTGAGTTCATGGTCATTTCTGCAAGCATTCCAAGATCTCTGGGGCTGATGAGTGTTCTTTCCAAACTTGAAGCGGGGGAATGTCTTTCTTTATGAACAGAGCTTTGTTTAGTTTGGGGTGAGAATGTTTGTTTTTCTCTTGCTGTTGTGTCTTTGTATGGGGACTGGTTAAATTTTTGAATGGAGGGTCTTATACATGCTAAGTCCTGGCTCCACCACTAAACTAGACCTGCCGGTTGTGTGTAGGTTTTAACTGAGAGTTGCTGTGTAGCCTGGGAACACAAGTTGCCTTTGAATAGTTTTCTTGAAGCTCTAAAAGGAATCTGTGTGGTTTAGTTTTGGTGTGTCTGGCAAAGGAGATGGAACCACTTAAATCTGTTTGCCTAGGTAGTGTTGACCTAGTTCCATAGCTGCTCACGCTGAATACTGGCCAGCAAAATGCTCTCCAGCAGGTGTTTCTCTGTAACTGCTTTGCTAACTTTCTGAAGAGAGAGTGTTGATAATACCAGGGAAGGTCAAATTGATGATACATCTTAGTTTATATAGGCTCAAAGGAACTGTCCACTTTTATGCTATCATTCAATAATCTGCCTTGTGGGTATTTGTTCTCTGATGAGAATGCAGTTGTGTTTATCATTTGATATTTTTAAGAGGGTTAGAGAGAAGCTTAAAAGCGGGGAATCCTAGAAGAGCTGTTTTAAAGCTTGAGTCATTTGTCTGCTGTCCTGTAACTTTAAAGTAGGTGCATTCCTGATAAGTAAGTGTGCATGAACTAAAGTCACCTAAGTAAACTCATGTTATCTCTATTTTTTCACACCTGTTGACTTATTTGCTAAAATAATAATTACAGCTTTGCCAATAACATCCATCAGTGATTATTCTATTATGTGCTATATTATGTTTGAAATTCCTCATTGCTGTCACCTATAACTCACATATTTTTATAGAAACCTGTAACTTGGAGAAATATGATATATATATATATAGTTTGTTAAGGGCCAGTGGGATAACTCAGTGGGTAAAGGTGCTTGCTGCCAATACTGGTGTTCCGTCCCTGGAACTTCCATGGCAGAAGGGAAGAGGCAGCTTGGCTTCCATGAATGCACCAAGACAAATGCACACTACACCCATATATATAAATCAACAGATGTGAAAAATAAATCACAGCAAAATAAATTAGTTTAGGTGACTTTAGTTCATGTTGCTCTGGGTCTTGAAGGACCTGGTACTAGTGGGTGCTCTGAGGAGGACGCCCTGGCGGGAGCAGCATAACAACAGGAGACATAGGAAAGGGGAATATATACACTGCAGTACAGGGAGCCAGGAAGTCAGTTTAGGGGCAGGTGAGCTCAGGCCTTCCAAATAATTTGTTCTAGTGGGAAATAATGAGCCCCAGAAGACTTGAATTTTTTTCTGAGCCCAGTGTGGGGTCCAAGATCTGTAAGCATCCTGGGAAATCACTAGTGTGAATCTTCTTTCAAAGGCTGAAGAAGCTGGAATCTGGTGGTCATTGGACCAGGAGTAAAAATACCCGCTTAAGGCGACCTTAGCTTGTCCTCTGGGAGCTTCCCCTTCTTGTTCTTTGTTCCAGGGGGGCCTCCACCTATTTGATGGGGTCACCCATATTTGGATGAGTCTTTTGCTGCTCCATTTGCTGACAGACCACTAACTCATATCTCATGGTCTCTGTAAACATCCTCACAGATATACCAGTTTTCTGTGCATCTCAAAAATTGGTCAAAATATTTTTACTTTTTAAAAAGAATTTAAGGAATATCACAGTGTATTTGGCTCACACACTCTTCCTCCTACCTCCTCTAAAATCTACTCCCCAGTCCCCCTTTTACCTTCATGTCTCCCCCCCCTTGCCCCCAACCCCAGCCAGCCTTGACCACTGTTTCTAATTTGTATCACCCATCTATCTATTCCTGTGTATGGGGGCCTTCCTGAGCATAGTCAATCGACCAGTTGTTACACCTGTAAAGAAAAACTGCCTGTGCTTCTCCCAGAATCCATCAGCTGTCCATAGCGCCTCAGGGGTGAGTTGGGAGAGTGCCCTTGAGCCCTTTCATCCTAGAATGTTGACTGGGTTGGTCTTGTGCAAGCTGCCACAGTGTTGTGAGCTGGAGAGTACAGCAGTGGTATCAAGTTTAGAAGACACTTTCCCCCGCCCCTCCTCCCCAGTGGCTGGCTCTTATACTCTTTCCTCTCCATCTTCTTAGGCGGTCCCTGAGCCTTGCGGGGAGAGGTGTAGTACAGCAGCCCACTTTTGTCTGAGTAGTCCCCGTCCACACACAAAGAACCATGGATGAGGTCTGAGAGTGGCATTAATCTCTGGGCATAGAGATGGGAATTTACAAGGCAGTCTCTGTGAGCAAAAGTGTGGTGGGTGGATTCAGTGATAGGGTCTTACATATAGTTCTAGTGGGCAACCAAGAGCAATCACAGTAGCCTGTGTTGTTTAAAGAGTTTCTGGTATACCCCTGACTGACAGCTGGGGGGAAAGTTTCCATCTTACAAGTGGCAATGGGTTATTTGGCTACCTATAGCTTCAAGAAGGAGCAACATCTCCTGTGTATAGTTTCTCTCTCCCTCACCCCCTGATCCCCAGAAGACACTATACATGTGTATGTATTAGGCGGCTTATATGGCTTTTTCAAACATCCTTAGAGTTGGTTATCCCTCTCCCTAACCCCCCTCCTCCCATCTTGCCTCCCATCAAGATTCTTTTTTTTTTTTTTTTTGGATTGTTTATTTTATTTTATTTATTTATTTTATATAACCAAGTCCATTTAAATGAAAACAAACATTTATAGACAATATTTGGGAATTTGGGCATTGTTCTTTCCAAACTACTTCCTGCTGGTAAGGGGCGCTGTCATGGGGGATTCTAAGAAGATGCAGAAATCCTGGATGTAGTCTGTAAGGCTGCTTTGTCCAGCTGTTTTGAATGTAGGATCGGCTGGTACTCTGTTTCAGGCGGTCTGGCTTAATCAAACCACATTAGTCTGGAAGGAATCCACAGCTTTTCATTTTCTGTGGAAACAAAAATAGGAATCCTTTTCCCCAGTAACTTGTCCTTGAACTTAAATATTGGAGTCAAAGCATTTTTTTTAAAATTTAATTTATTATTTTACATGTCGATCCCAGTTCCCTCTCCCTTCCTCCCTCCCTCCCTCGCTTCCTCCCCCCAGCCCTCCCTCCCTTCTTGCCTCCCTTTTATCCTCTCTGCCCTCTCACATGCACTCTAACCACCCTCCCCTCCCATCCCCCCACCCCAATTCCATATGTAGGGGAATGCCATCCAGTTGGAGTCATGTGGATCTGACAGGTCATGTGTCATCCCTGGTGCACAAAAGAACCTTGCGAACACATCCCCCATGGAGGGATAACTGCCTTAATCTAGAGACAGGAGAGAAGCCCTAGTCCCATCAAGATTCTAAGGGAGTTCGTTCTTATTGCATTCTCTCTTTGACTTTCACCTGCTGAAAAGGATAATGGCCCTTCTCACCCTTAACTAAACTGAATTCCCCAAAATTAGCCTGAAAGTTATTTTTTAAAATTTGTAATGTGGGCTGGAAGATGGCTCAAAGTTTAAGAGTTCCAGAGGTCCTGAGTTTAATTTCCAGCAACCACATGGTGGCTCACAACCATCTATAGTGAGAGCTGATGCCTTCTTCAGGCATACATGCAGATGGCATTTGTGTGATCACAGCTGATTAGAAGTGTACACTGTGGCCTTACTTCATGCCAGCTGAATCAAAATGTTCAGTTTAACAAGGTACCAAAGTAATAGCAGGTTAAATCGGAGATACATGTGTTGTTTGTATGTGCACATTGTCAAATGTTTATAGAATTCAAACACTGTTAAGGGGGTAGGTAAACTTTTGATCCAGCATGCTTAAGAATAGGATGTAGGCAAAACAGCTGGACAAAACAGCCCTACAGACTACAGCCAGGATATCTGAATCTTCTTCGAATCCCCCAAGACAGCGCCCCTCACCAGCAGGAAGTAGTTTGGAAAGAACGACGCCCAAATTCCCAAATATTGTGTATGTTTGTTTTCATTTAATTGGACTGTTATATAAAATTAAATAAAATTTAAAAAAATTAGAAAAAAAAAGAATAGGATGTAGGGTTCCTAACACACACACACACACACACACACACACACACACACACACACACACACACACCCTTTATGGCTTTTGGTTCTGGCATCTGGTAATGTATTAGCAATGCTTTGAATTACTGACTGACTTCGTCTTTATCCCCACCCGTAGGTGCACCAGCTTTCTTCGAGGAATTCTGCTGTGGCTCTATTTGTCTTTCCCTGTGACGGAGGCCTTTGGACTTGCACTATGTTATCAGCAGCCTTAATTACTTTGGTGAGAAGCAGTGGGAACCAGGTGAAGAAGAGAGTGCTGCTAAGCTCTGTCCTTCTGCAGGACAACAGGCAGGTGACTCCTACCTGCTACAGCTCCACGTCTGAGCCCAGGTGTTCTCGATTTGGTCCAGACGGAAGTGGGCAACCAGCTACTTGGGACAATTTTGGGATCTGGGATAACCGCATTGACGAACCAATTCTGCTGCCACCTAGCATCAAGTATGGCAAGCCAATCCCCAAGATTAGCCTGGAGAACGTAGGCTGTGCCTCTCTCATTGGCAAACGGAAAGAAAATGAAGATCGGTTCGGGTTCGCACAGCTGACAGAGGAGGTGCTGTACTTTGCCGTATATGATGGGCATGGCGGACCCGCAGCTGCTGACTTCTGTCACACGCACATGGAAAAATGTGTGATGTATGTATAATGACCATGGTTTCGAAGTTCCTCTAGGCTTTCTGTTGAAATATAATCCCTTAGGCCGAGATCCAGTGTATATGTATATGTATATGATGTGTTGTGTGCCTACATATGTGTATGTATTCATCTGTGTGTGGACGCCAGAGGTTAACATCAGTGTCTTTCCGTATCTCTCCCCACCTTACATTTTGAGATCCTAGAGCTCGCACCGTTTCAGCTAGACTGGCTGGCCCATGAGCCCCTGGGGATCTTTGTAATCCCATGCATGGTCTTTATAATAGGAGCTAGGGATTTGAACACAAGTCTTCATGTTTATACAGCAAACACTTTACCTATAGAGCTATACCTCTGTGGTCCTGAGAAAGTATTTACTTTTGTCAGCCCAGGGAAGTTTGCTTATTGCCTTTGTTACTTTTCTGTGAAGACACCTAGTGACTAAGGCAACCTATAGAAGAAAGGTTATCTGGGGCCAAAACGTTAAAGTCCATGACCATCTTAGTGGAAAGCATGGCAACAGACAGACAGATATACTGCTGGAGCAACAGGTGAGAGATTATATCCTTATCCGCAAACAGCAAGCAGAGAGAGAGAGAGAGAGAGAGAGAGAGAGAGAGAGAGAGAGAGAGAGAGAGAGAGAGAGAGAGAGAGAGACTGGCTAACTGGGAATAGTGTGGGCTTTTGAAACCTCAATGCCCACCCCTTTGACATACCTCCTCCAACAAGGCTGCACCTCCTAATCCTTTCCAACAACAACAACAACAAATAGTTCCATCAACTAGGGACCAAGCATGCAGATACATGAGCCTGTGGGAGCCATTCTTATGCAAACAGCCACACTTACTATGTTTTTGAGAATCACATCATCATCATCGCTAGAATTAAACAAAGGAGACAGTGTGGCAGTTACGGCCATGGACTATTGCTTTACCTTCCGATGTATAGCTGAAGATAGTTTGTCAGTTGATTTCTGCATGTTTTACCTCATTCTACAAACTCAGTGATTTAAGTCAATATAAAGGACCCTATAACCAGTCAGGGTTCCACTACTGAGAATTCTTTAAGAACAGAAACTTGGGGACTGTGGGATGGCTCTAAGGATATGGTGCTGAAGCTTTTTTTGTTGTTCTTGTTTTTTTTTTTTTTTTTTTTTTTTTTTTTGTGTTTTGCATGTGAAACAATGGCCCAACCACTCAACCATATCTTCAGACTTCCTTGTTTGTTTATCTGAGATAGAGTGACCTATCCCAGGCTGGGCTAGAGCTGACTATATAAAAACAAGGATGACCTTGAACTCCTGACCCTCCTGCCCTGGCCTCCTAAGTCTTAGTGTTGCATACAGCACCACTTCCCCAGATTATATTTTCATGCCTTTAAAATGCCTGAGGTTTGATGTGGCTCAGTTAGTCCTAGCTTGTAGGAAACCCTGAGTTACACCTCCAGCACCACAAACGCAGGGCACGATCCTCAGCCTACGCGTGTCATGGTTCATGATTCCTAGTACCTTCCGAAACCACTGATGGTCTCTTAATCCTTGAATCTTCAGCAAGCATCTGAGAGGAAAGCTGTGAGGTCTGTTGTGTAGAGTGATGCTGCAGGTCTGACCATGAAAGGAGCCAACTCTTGCAGAATGATCACAGCTTTCTTTCCTCTCCACCAAGGGATTTGCTGCCTCGGGAGAAAGACTTGGAAACTGTACTGACCTTGGCCTTTCTAGAAATAGATAAAGCCTTTTCCAGTTATGCCCACCTGTCTGCTGATGGTAAGTGATCCTGGGCACGCCTCTGACCCTTGAGGATTGGTGGGGAAAGAGGGAACGATGAAGGCCTTCAGTGGCCGGAGTCTTAATGCATGTTTACTTGTGGGGACTTTTTATAGAAATAATTTTATACGATGAATCCTTGCAAATGCTGCTTAGAATCTGAACTTAACGTCAGTGCCCTACTTTTATGTTCGATAAAGACCTTTCAGAAGGGGACACTCCAAAATGGTTCCATTACTGGATTTTAATTTTACAAAGATTTTTAAAATGTTTCATTCTATTATGTTTTTTAAGGACAAGGGTGTCCACACTAAGAGGTCCTCGTCCCCCTGCAATACTACTAGTGTAAACACTACAAGTTAATCCCATTTGCAAGGTTGACAATTGTTGAGCATGTACTATAGGGAATCAGAGAGGTCGTTCAGTGGGGTAAAAGCATTTGCCATCAAACCTCACCACCTGAGTTCTAGTCCCAAGACCCACACGGGAAAGGAGAGAAGCAATTTACATATGTTAGCTTCTGACATTCACACATGTGCTGTGACCTGTCCTCACACACTTAAACACATGTATGCACATGTAAAATAGATACATATTTTTTAAAAAAGAAGAATATTAGCAATAGGTCCTAAGTATGCTAGAAAATGGCCAATTAGCATCCATTTATATAGTCAGAAAGGAAATATTTGCCTTATGTTTCTCTGTCTTGCAGATTTTCTGTGGTAACTAGTGATGTTTTTGTTTTTGTTAGGTATAAGGAAGGACATGGCAAGTTAATTTTAAAAAATCATGTATTGCATATAAATTTTAAAAGCAAATGTTTCTTGTTTTGACTAAGTGCATCAACATAATTTCAGGAAAATATATCCAATATGTTATAATTAGCTCACCAAAAATATATTTCTAATAAAGTTAACTTCAAAAACTTCTGTAGCAGCCATATATATAATGTATGCCTCCTAACTGACTGGAAACAGCATTGTGTGTGAATGCTTATCTTAGTTCTGTCTTTTCCTTTAATAAGAAAAGTGCACCACAGGAATGCCTTTTCCAGCCGGATAGAGATTCTCTCCATTTTACACACTTGGAGCTCCCACTGAAAGAGAAGAAATGGCTAGTTGAGATTAGGGTCCTGTTCATTTGCATATTTAATAACAAGACGGGGGAAAGATGAGTGTATCAGCCTCCCAACCTCCATCCCTGTTGAACCCAAGGCCTTGGGACACGCTAGGCCAGCAAGCTCTGGCCCACTGAGCTACTCCTCCTCCAGCGCCCCCGCCCCCCAGCTCATTGGGAGAACTTTACCATCACATTCCCCAGGACACTTTGTGGCCCATTCTTTCTCCCTTTGACTAGGGAGTGGTTTTCCCTTGGTAAATTATTTGAAACCATTTGTCTTCTTCCTTTTACAGGACTCCTCCCAAAGTGCCACTTCCCTTTGACAGATGGTGAAGTTTCTGTTTAAGATTTAGCTTTTGTAAATCACATTGTGAAGAGTAAAACACACCGAAGAGGAAGTGAAACACTTTCTCGTGGATTTACGTTTTTTGGGTGGGGACACAGTCTCATTTAGCATCCCTGGTTGGCTTGGAACTGGCTATATAAACCAGACTGGCCTCAAACTTATGGAACATGTTTGAAGTAATCAGTTCGGGGTGTTTTAGCTGTTACTAAGTTGGCTGTGAATCTGGCCATATCAGTATTATGACTCAACTGTATTTATGGCCTATAGTTTGTAGAACACAGTGTTCAAGAACATTAGCATATGGTCAACATTAAAATATATTAATCCTTCATGAGTGCAATCAGGCTTTTTAAAAAATGATATAATCAATGCTGGTGATTAGAACCACCATTATTAGACTAGTGTCAAATGTAAAGACATTTATTTTTAGTAATATAATTCAGGAGGCTTTGAATTTATAGCATTTAACGTTTATGTCTTCATTAGACTCTTTAGATGACTCACACAATCCAATTGTTAAATAAAATATCACTTATTTCTGATAATCAAATTAAGATATATTGCTTAATTTAGTTGCTTTGTCATCCTTTGGGATAATCTCAGATCTTCATGAAGATGTCTCAAAATTGATTCTTCTTTTTACTGAAGAACTGATTAAAAGTGTAAGGGGACAAGACAGGCTGGTGCCTAGAACATGGTTAGAACAATCCTGCTGTGCACTGTTGTACGCAATGTACGTGCATGCGCCCAAGTAGAGCCAGGGCGAGCTAGCAAACATTGTATGGGACCACAGTCACCCTCTCTGCTTCCTGACTTTTCTCATCTCTTAGCGTCTGCCCCAGTTTCACTTCTCGTGAGCCCTTCCTGTGAGATCAGGGAGTGGGAATTATTTTTTAATAGGCTTCATACATTCTACTAAACTAGATCTCCAACCCTTTTAGCATCACCTTCAAAATTTTAAATTCAATTTACATCAGTGTGCTTTTTTTTTTTAACTATTTATTTATTTATAAAAATGGCATGGCCGCTTCAAACAGATGGTAGAAAACACACAGATTGTGATGCTGCATATCCTATAACTACTGGGGCTGTGCAGTGGTTATGCGTTGAAAGCAGCTGTGCTCCTAAGGGATAAAGGATCAGAGTGAGACACATTGCTTCGATTCCACGGGAGGTATTGGTGGGCACTGCTGTGGTGGAGCTTTAAATTCTGTGCTCTTCACATGTGACTCTTTGTAGAGAATTAAACGCCAAGATATCAAGAGCTGTGAAGGCAAATTTGCCTTCTGTGCTGGGATTGAAGCCAGGGCTGTGGACATACTCGGCAGGTACTCTACCATTGAGCTATACTTCTTGCCCTGTACAGTAGTTTTGAATACCCCTCTAATGCCAGAGGTCATCAAATGGAAAATAAATAATAACAGCATTGAAGAGTTGGTCTTATTGTGTTGTTACTACTTTGGTGTGTATGAGTCATACATGTTAAGAACACTCATTTTTAATAAATTTTGCAGCAATATTGGTTGGGTTATATGAATTATTATTTATACAGCTTAATAATCTAATAAGCACTGTGGGTGGTGTTAGATTTTACTCTTTCTGTTGTTGTTCCAAATTGTGATTATCTTTCTCCTGTCCTACCAACATGCAGCACTTAGGAAAGAGAAGCAGCAGAAACACCAGTCTATGGTTACATAAAGTTATGAACATGCATTGTCATTCAAGAGAGCCACACTGGCCTTCACATAAACAACGAATTTAAGTCATCAACTGGCAACAGTTCTTCCCCGTACTAAATTCCTGCATTATATGTGATTTAAAAACAAAAATCTTGTGTCTTTTTTCTGGCATAGGAAGCGCTTTGGGATTGCTTCTCTATGTATATTGAAACCCCAGTCAGCTGGTGTAAACTATAGTTCACATACATCCTTTATGCTCTACTTGTCAAATACATACAGATTATTTTGTTTAGGGGACAGTTCAGTATTGCTATATTGCTATGAGCCAAATTTAAAGTGCATTTTTTTCTGACTCAAAAATATTGAATTTGTTGGGTTCAAGGTTTTGTGTGTGTGTGTGTGTGTGTGTGTGTGTGTGTGTGCTTGTGCATGTGCAGATACATGTCTGTGTCACCACTTGTATGTTTTGGTACAGATGCATATGTGCATAGGTTTTTTTTCCCCTAGAACACTGAGAAATGTTAATCTGATGGGAAAACTAGATCAACAACCAGATACTGTTAACTTGAAGCTACTGAGTTTTGAAATCATTGATTCGGCATCTCCTGGAATATTATGTGATTTGCAAGTGACGTTTTCACCAATAGGAATTCTTCCCCTTGTGTTGCACCTCTTTCTCTGCTCTCCTTTGTGTTGCAGGCTTGTTATGTTTCAGTGTAATTTCTGGGGGAAACTCCTGGAAATTTGCCTCTGTGCGTGTTGTTTGTGGCAGAGAACTGTCCTGCTCAGCGGCTCTAGACCTGAAGCCTGTGGACACTATATGCTGGGCTTCAGTGGAAAGAGAGACCTGCTTAATTTTGTCTCAGGTGATGGAGTCCAGCTGATCCTAGTCTAAACTCCTGGGACATTCCCACTTCTTCCTTGCCTGGTAGTTGAGATGACTTGCAGTAGAAAGTAACCAGTGAGTGTGAAAACTGTCTCAGTTTTCTAGTTTTGCTGTTAGGGCAGACCGTGAGTACTTTTATCTCTGTGCTAACTGTTAAATGGAAATAAGTGCTGATACACTATTTACATTCTTAGATGCATAGCCAACCAGAATCAATGGTTAGTTTTGAAACTTTCCCCATATATCCTGAGATTTTGAAACTGTGCAGGTGAATTGATAAAAGCCCAAGCTCTTTTAAATTCAGAGCTGAAAGAGCGGGGAACTACAGCCCAAACTGAAACTGTATTTATAAAATGTTAGTTCTTTTGCCATCTTCACTTAAAGATCCCGTTATAAAAAGCTATTGCTGACAGCTAAAGTGAACAGTTCCGAATTCTCTGGACTGATAGCATCTAATAAATGCCTATCTCCTCTTTCCTACCTTTTAAAATCATTTGAGAATAATATAGTTGGTTGAACTGTGAAGGTTCCATTGTTGTGTCGCATTTTGACTAATATCAAGTTGAAAGTTAGAACGCCTGTAAGATAATCACCACTAGTCTTTATGTTGACACATTGAAGTCATGCGCTGACATACATCCTAACATTGCTGTGATATGATAACATTGCTTTAACCTAATGGTTCCAGAATCAACTGTAGACTCTGTTTCTCAATAGAGTAAAAGCTTAGCATGACTACAAAAGGTTGAGTAGACTTTATCCATGCTTTTCCATTTTACTTTCCTGAATAAATCAGGCATTTTAATATAATGACTGGAAAATATATTCATCTCTTTCCAAATTGAATTATTGGTGAAGTTTTTTCTTTAAAAAAAAAAGTTTTGTAAAGACTTGACTGTCAATTACAGTTTTCTGAATCAACTTATAGAGTAAAAGTCATCTTTGGATGGTCTGGAGGCTTTTTACAAAAATTGTTACACAGAGCAACAGTCAAGCGATTGGATGTGGAATTCTTACTACAACATTAAAAAACAAAATCCAGCTGAAATTTTGTCAATGCTTTAAAGAATTAACAGTGTTACTGGAGAGAATTCCTTCTTTACTTATCAATTTCTTCCATTTTGCTATACTGTTCTTTGGTTCATATTCTCATAGTATTCCCATTTTTCACAAGGCTCAATGCACCTTAAAGATTTTTAATAAGGGGTAAACAACATGGAACAAATGTTGTTATGTTAGAATAAAGCAAAGACACACAATGTACTTGGCTTGGTTAGAAAAAGAGTGGCAACCTCAAACCTAGTAACGTTCTTTCCTTGATGGCAGGGCAGATGCACAGTCTGGCATATTCTGGCCCAGGCAGGGCTGCAGGAGGTGCAGCTGGCTATGCTGGTCAGCTTTTAGCTACAGATTCTGTAGTCGGATCCCTTTAGAGCTAATAATGTTAACAATGCCATGCTTATGAGGAAACTGGAATGAATTTCATTCTTTATCATGCAGATCTGTAATGGGGGGGCAATAACTTTTCTTCAATAGAGCAAAGAAAGACCCAAACCAGATAAGGGTATAGTTTTTAATTGTGTGTGTGTGTGTGTATGTGTGTGTGTGTTTATAAATTGGCATGGTTGTGGAGGGTAATAATGTACACTGTAGTACTCAAAGAGCAAATGGTCCCTGCTTGGCATTTCTCTCCTTACCTACTAATTGGTACTACTTTGACTGGATAGGAGTAAGGGATGGAAGAACGCAATCCAAATCTCATGATTTTAGAAGGGCAGCTCACCTAGTGGGCCCATGAGATCTGCCATCCTGTCGTAGCAACCAGATTAGTGACATTTTCCTGTTTTGTTTGGATACCTGCTGTGCACACAAAAGCGTCATCGTGAGTTTCAGTCAGCCCTGCTTTATGAACACAGTGCACCTGGAGACACTGATGCTTTGCTCACCAATTTAGTTTACCAAACTTTGTGTTTGCATGGAGCCTTGTTACTGTATTGAATAATAATTGTCGCTCTGCATGGTCTTACTTACATGGTTCGTTTGCATAGCTCTTGTTAAGTTAGAATGGTACATGCCAGCCTTCTGTCTTATTCTTAATAAAAATTCCATAGCCAAACACTTCTATCGCTAACTGATACTCTATTTTATAATATTTGTAGCCAGCCTCCTGACTTCTGGGACTACTGCGACTGTAGCCTTGTTGAGAGACGGTATTGAACTGGTTGTAGCCAGTGTGGGAGACAGCCGGGCTCTTTTGTGTAGAAAAGGAAAACCCATGAAGCTAACCACTGACCATACCCCAGAAAGGAAGGATGAGAAGGAAAGGTACTGTCACTGTGACCCACCGTTTGATGGGGTGAGAGGTGTTGCCATAGAGATGTAGTGTGGCATTTCCCTCCTTGTGCTGGTGTAAAGTAGCAGGGCCTCTTTGCAAGCAGCACTGCACACAATACTACCTCACCCCAGATACTCTTGTTTTGGTGGGTTTGGGTTTGTTGAGACTGGATCTCGCTGTGCAACCCAGTCTGGCATTGCATCTGTGTTCTCCTTCCACAGCCTCCCAAGTACTGGGGTTACCAGGGTGTGTACACCACGTGGTCTAACTTTTTCATTTTATCTTATTTATCTAAGGACTTAAAAGTTTTGGCATTTACAATGGGCTTCTCAGCCTTCTCAAGTCCCTGGATTATGGGTGTGTGCTGACATACCAGGCTACAAATTTCAATTTGTAAAAAGGGTATTTAAACCAGTGCCTTAATTTCCTACATCACTGTCATTGCCATCATTGTTATTATTAATTTTACTTTTTTTTCTTAACTAGGATCAAGAAATGTGGTGGGTTTGTAGCTTGGAATAGTTTGGGGCAGCCCCATGTCAACGGCAGACTTGCAATGACAAGGAGTATTGGAGATTTGGATCTTAAAGCCAGTGGTGTAATAGCAGAACCTGAGACAACAAGGATTAAGGTAAGAAGGGGTCAGAAACACTAAGTCATACACAGAGAGTGAGAGACTCACCTCCAGCTGCTGGCTGTCCTGGAAGATGTACCTGAAGGAAAGATGTTTTTAAAGGGGAACTGATGGGTGAAGAATAAACTTAAGCAAGATGCTAGCTTCCTGCCTGGGGAGGGTGAAGTCTTTGGCTTTTGTTTCCCCCTGGTAGAGGGGCTCTGTGGCCCATCCTTTCCCAAAGCCTGCCATTCATTTCTCAGCTTGGGAGTCATTCTCGGCTTGCCCTCTCCAGCAGCTCAACAGTCAGCCATTTCTATTTGAATAGCATAGCGAGCGCCTCTTTTACTCTGAACTGACCCCAGCATGGTACATGTGCTGCTGCTTGCTTCTCTAGAGCTCTTGAGTAGGCACTGGCATAATGTGGGCTTCCACAAACAGTAGGGCATGAATGCTCAGAATTCAAGGAAGGATATGTCCTGAAAAGGATATCTCACTCCAGGAGGTGGTGGCATACACCTTTAATGGAGGCAGAAGCAGAGGCAGATGAATCCTTGTGAATTTGAGGCCAGCCTGGTCTACAGAGATAGTTCCAGCACAGTCAGGGCTACACAGAGGACCCCTGTCTCAAATAAGAAAATCATTAATTTTAAAACAACTACTTATATAAGATTTGCTGTGCAGCAGCCTCTGTTCAAAGCAGATACAACTATCTTCACTTTAAAAGGAAGTAAGCTGAAATAATAACATGAGCTAACGCGTATAGGGGCTCACACTATCGAGTGATAAAAAGTACTCACCTAGCCAAATACTAGAAGCAGCATTTAAATCCAGACTCTCAGCATTTGGCTGTCTGGCCTCTCTCTTGGTATTGCTGGGTAAAAGTTTGGCAAATCCTGGCTGGTATGGATTCTCAGCTACATTGTTTTCAGTTTGCCCATGAACTCTGAACCAGATGATCACTCTGCAAAATAGGATTTCCACATTATTGAGCCGTTCAAAGGCCCAGTCAAGTGTGTGATCACATGTTTGCCTATGATTGCAGCTCTACCATGGGGATGACAGTTTCCTAGTCCTCACCACAGACGGGATTAACTTCATGGTGAACAGTCAAGAGATCTGTGACTTTGTCAACCAGTGCCATGATCCTAATGAAGCAGCCCATGCTGTGACTGAACAGGTGACTTAGCAGAGACTCTGGTGGGAAATTCCAGGACACAAGAGGACGAAGGGCGGCAGGGGGTAGAGTGCTTTAGTTTGAGTGTTGTGGTGAATTTGAACACGGGCCTCTTGAATGCTGGTTGAGCTCTCTCCTACTGAGTGAGGCACAAATGGTTGATGAAAATAGAGATTTTACTATTCCTCTTTACATCTTCTTGTTAGTGGAATTAACATCTAGAATTGTGTTTTAATAACTCATATTTTTGGGGATGGAGAGATGGCCAGAGGTTAAGAGCACTGCCTGCTCTCCCAGAGGAAGAGTTCAATTCCCAGCACTCACATGGTGGCTCATAACTATCTATAATGAGATTTGGTGTCCTATTCTGGTATGTAGGCATGCATGCAGGCAGAACACTGTATTCATAATAAATGAATCTTTAAAAATAATATTTCTTGTTTGTTTTTCCTCTTTCCCTACTATTCTATCACCATTTTTAATGGCTATTTTAACAACTATATATTAAGTATAACGGCACATTTGAAACATATTTGATACATGTTAAAACAAGATTTTCTCTTACAATTTGTTTGTAAACCTTTTTACATTCCTTGAAACTATCCATACCAGACAGATACCTTTTAGCCTCTGGCTGAGATCTTCTGACCTGTTTGTTGCTAACTGCCACCCTAAGCTCTTCTGGAGAGAATTGATTCTAGCACTCAGCTATTTGAACTGGTTCCTGGAAGTTATTTACAGTCATGCTGCAGGCAATCTAGTTTATGGCCACTTATGATTTCAGAAGGAATACTACAAATGTTTTGTCATAACTTTGTTCATACCCATTTCTGGGATTTTAAATTTTAAGTTATTACTCAAAGGGGCAGATTTCTAGCAGTGTTTTCAGATGAGCATGTTATAGTTTGTTCTTTTTTTTTTTTTTTTTTTTTTCTTTTTTTCTCATCCCTCTTCAACGCTCTTTAATTTCTTGGGCTAAATTCCTACAAGCAGTTTTGTTGGTAAGAATTAGCAGGTATTAAGGCTTCTCCATGACTGGCGCCATGCTAAGGGTTTCAGGCGTGTCTTTTTTGAGCTGCTCAGTTGGTGTGTCTCAGTTCACAGGTGTTTCTATTGCCAAGGTTGCTACTGTGGAGGACAGGAATTAGCCGGGTCATGTCATTCATGTGCACTTAATAACCATATGGGACACAGATACATGGTTGAGACAGTCACAAACCTTGTTAGATAACTGAGTTTTTGAATTGTTTAGAACTGGTTAGCTTTCCAGAGAAAGGATGCTGTCTGTCTGCGCAGAAACCGATGACTCCGGCACTTTGCTTTTCTCTCCTCACGGCCCCTGCAGGCAATACAATATGGCACAGAAGACAACAGCACTGCAGTCGTGGTACCCTTTGGTGCCTGGGGGAAATACAAGAACTCTGAAATAAACTTCTCATTCAGCAGAAGCTTTGCCTCCAGCGGGCGATGGGCCTGATCTCCAACCTGGACTCGGTGTTCCTAAGCGGCGGTGTGTCAGTGAGCATATCAAGAAACTGGTAATACCCAAAAGGCCTCCAGTACCCATGTGTCCTTGCGACCTCATAGGTCCCAAGACGTCACAAGCTTAACGGCCCTGTACACAGTAGTGTTTTTTATAAATCTTCATCATTATGTTCAACTGCACATGCTCAGTGCAAGCACCATGACAGAGCCACTGTGAGACTGAGTTGAGGGGGAGAGGAAGTCGTTTCAGTACACTCGATGAGTTACAAATCTATGCCTTTTGTTTTGTGATGCTAGAGATTGAATCCAGAGCTTTCTAGTTTTCAAGATTATCAGGCAGATCTGGTTTCTGTTTTTAATGATTTTGTTCTTTTTTTTTTTTTTTTTCAGTTGGACAGGTTTTCTGAATTTTGATTGCTCATCGATGTGTTATCTGCTGGTGTTTCTTTTTTCTTTCTCTTCATTTTAAACAGTTCTCACTGGCTGGTCTTGAACTTCTGGATTCAAACCATCTTCCTACTCCAGTTTCCTGAATACCTGGGACTATAGGATGCTCCAGCTTATAAATGTTTATTTTGTTTGTTTTCATTTTTAATTTTTTTAGAGCAAAACAAGCAGAGATTTATTATAGAAAAGTTCTCACACGCACAAGTGTTAGTTTTTCATAAATGTACCAAGGAGCGAAAAACAAAACTAATAACAGATAACTTCCCTGTTATTGTGTCTTATACTCTGGACCACATAGTAGTAAATTTAGCCCTTCAAAAGAAACTTCTTCAGACAAAAGATATGGCTAAAGTGTATACATATTTGTAAATAGTTCTCTTGTGTATTTTTAATGATTTTTAGCCCTTTCCTATTTTCTATAATCAAATGTGCTATATAGCTCCAACTGCCCCTTAATCTCTCTGGGAGAATGTGTAGACTCTGATCAAAATATGTACAGTGACACACAGACAGTGTTTGGTTTGTTGAAAGAGTGTGTTCGTTTGTTGTTGTGTGTTTTGTGTATGGGATGGTTACATCACCTTTTATGCACACAGTAAGCAAGTTGGGTAAAGATAATATTACAGTGACTCACACTTTTATAGACATAGCTTGAGGTTTATGTCTCCATTTTCCTCATTTCTGAGATTCAAAAAGAGATATTCAAACTTGTCAGCTTGCTATGTAAATTAGGAATGTAAAACTACACTCCTTTTTTATCTGCATATAAATTTGCTGTTAAACTGTGCATCCCTAAATGTGTGTTTGGAATTAATATATAGTTTATTTTCACAAACCATATAAATTTGGTGTATGTGTGATGAGGATATAAATATTTTGATGTAATATAAAATTAAAGGGAACAGATTTGTGGAGCCTTTATCAGTTAGCTTTAAATTATTGATATATTTATCCCAAAGGACACTCAACATATTGAGTGATTTTCTGTAGCAAAGAATCAGTGGTTGTTAGTAGATAACCACTATGAATTAAATATATATATGGGGCCAGATGTAATGCCCCATGCCTGTAATTTAAGGAGTTGGGAGGAGGAGGCAAGAGAATCATGATGGTGACTTTGAGTTCAGCCCAGGCTACATAGCGAGTTCCAGGGAAGCCTCAGCCACAAAAAATCAGCAACAAATAGCTATAAGAGACATTTTATTATGTGTAATTTATGTGGATAACCAAAGAACAGAAGCAACCACATTGTGTGGTGACTTGAATATAAAACTATGGGCTATGAAAAGTTTAGGGAATATTGAGAATGACTTGGAATTTTGAGGCAGAAACAGGAGAAAAATAATGAAATATATATGCCTACAAATCTGGTGTGTTTTCTTCCTTTAACATTGGTTTTAAATATATAGTAGAAAGCAGATGTCCCAAAATAAATTTTTTCATCTTGTTGTTTTGGGAAATGGAAGAAGGAATATTTTGACTTTACCTGCCTATACTAGTTAGAACAGGCTCAAAAAGAATTTAAGGTCTTTTCATGGATGTCAGTTGAGAGGAAGAAACCATTTCTCAGGCGTGTTAGCTTACATGTGCAGTTCCAACATGCAGCAGGCTGTGGCAGAGGAATCTGGAATTTGCTATGAGCTGCATAGCAAGACCTTATCTCAGGAGACAACCAAAATCCCCAGGAAAGAATATAGTCCGTGTTCACTGTCTGAAATGAAGACACACAGGAAGGCCAGGGGAGCTGCGAGGCTTTTTTGTTGAATCAGTTGTTGGAACAGAATTATGAAAACAACTTTTGAGAGCACGGAGAACTTGTAAAATAATGTGCACAGCAAAATTCTCAAGCATAAAACTGACATTCTGGTGTGTAGGTTTCATTTCTGTTCTGAATTCTTTGCATTCCTGTCCCCTGCGCATGCCTTTTTTGTTTTGTTCTTTCTTTTTCTTTCTTCCTTCCTTCCTTCCTTCCTTCCTTCCTTCCTTCCTTCCTTCCTTCCTTTCTTCCTTCCTTCCTTCCTTCCTTCCTTCCTTCCTTCCTTTCTTTCTTTCTTGTTTTCTTCCTTCCTTCCTCCCTCCCTCCCTCCCTCCGTCCCTCTCTCTCTCTCTCTCTCTCTCTCTCTCTCTCTCTCTCTCTCTTTCTTTCTTTCTTTCTCCCTTGAAACCAGGGTTGAGAGTGAACTCATGGAGTTTGGAGCCCTGAGGGTCAATGATAGATTGGAGTGAATTCCAGATTTGACAAGCAGGAATCTGTAAATGATGGCCTTGTGTGCATTGGAAAGACTTGTCTCAACCTCCTGAGTGCTCAGATTGTAGGCATCCCATGCCTGGTTTTACCTGGAAGAAATGTAAAACTCTAATCCAGTCTTCCTTGAGAAAGCAAAGTGCTGGTCTCATTGGGGCTGGGCTGTGTCCTTTCCTGCAGGCTTTTCTTGATCAAAAGCGAATAAAACTACAAGCCAAGAATATGAAAAAAGAACATACTATAATCCTAAGTGATAAGCATACACACATGCCTCTGTTACTGACAATGGTGCAGTAGTGGCAAGAAAGGGACTGTTCTTCATACTTTTTAGTGTGACTTTAGCTGCGAGTTTGCTATGTGGGTGTAGGCTTGGGATAAATGATGTAATACAGGAAGTGTATCGGTTATATTTATGTATGCCTTTCATTTACATGCAGTATGTCAAAAAGTCATTCTTGTGTTGCCACCAGTAATTTAGTGAAATGTTCTTAAAGTATTGCGATATTTTACAATTATAAACTCATAAATATTTTACCAGTTCAGTAGTAAACGTAGCTTACTCTAGCAGCTGTTCATTTGTTAGAATTCCTTGTGTCGTTCGACTGCTTCAAATCCAAGCATTTTTCCCCCTCTAGGGTCAAAAATCCCTTAGGGCTCTTTTGCTTCTTTGTATTATATGATATGAACTTTCCGATATTACAACATTCTTAAAGTTTTACTTTGGAGAGATAGTAGCATATAATCTAAAATATGGAAATTATTTGAAATGGAAGTATTTAAAATTTGATTATTAGTTAATATTCTAAGAATGGATATGGAATTAATCCCATGCTAACATAATAGTAGGAAAATGCTTCCACGTGGGACCTGGGAGTTCAAGTTTAGAATTAACAACTGTAGCCAAGTGTTTGCTTTCTTTTACTGCCAGGGTTCACTACATGCCTGTGTCTCTAAAACACAATGTCCTGAGATTTGGGCTATTACATCACATTGAGTTTCCTAGGTTTCATTCTGAGAATGACTTAAGCAAGAATAACAAGTTGGATTTTACAAGATGAATGAAGCAAATATGAATGGTGACATGCCTGCTGTGATTGGCAGCTGGAGTAAGACCCTTTGGTTCTGTGGCAGCTCCCATTGGTTGTGGGATGGTTGAAATGGTCCATGGTGTCACAGAATTCTGGGCTGTGAGAACTTAGATGCGTGACGCCACCAAGAACAACCTACCTGACATTGGATTCTAGTGCAGAAGGCAGCACAGTGAGGTGACCTAAATTAATTGAATTTCTACTGAGGTTCTCTTGTGGATATTTGTTTTGCATTTTTGCAGAAGTTCTACTTGGTACAGTCCCTTTGTGGTGAATTTGACTATTGTTTTAAATGTATGTGCTAGAGTAACTGAACAAACTGAAGTCAGCTGGCTCATTGGTGAAAACATCCTAATAAAATGCACATATTAAACTCCTCCTAAACTCCAGTTCCACTTATTTGGCATCCAGATTGCTCGTTGTTTATTGTGTCAGTGACCTAAATGGTATAAAGGAGTTGGGGTCAATAAAGACTTGAGGATTTTCTTAGTAGATGCCTTAGTTTTCATTGCTGCAAAGAGGCACTATGACTATGGCAACTCTTATAAAGAAAACATTTAATTGGGGCTAGCTTACAGTTCCACAGGTTCAGTCCATTATCATCATGAAGGGGAGCATGGCAGTGTATAGGCAGGCATGGTGCTGGAGCAGAGAGCACTAACTCTGGCAGGCAACAGGAAATCAACTGGCTGTCACACGGAGGAAGCTTGAACAAAGGAGACCTCAAAGCCCACCCCCACAGTGCCACACTTCCTCCAATAAGGCCACACCTCCTAATAGTGCCACTCCTTTGGGAGGCCATTTTCTTTCAAACAATCACAGTAGGCAAAATTTAGTTATTTGCCAATTAATGTCAAGAAACTGTAGGCAAAAAAATATTATTTTCTTTTGGTTTTTATCCTGAGGATTGAAGCTGGTGTTTTCACAAAGTCCAGGCAAGCACCCTGCCACTAAGGCCACTAAGGCATTTGCTGTTTTGCACTGCTTTTATTTTGAAGCCTTGAGAGAGTGATCTTCCTGCCTGGGCCTTCTGGGTGCAGGGATTTGGGTCTGTGTCACCAGACTCAGCAAGATATACTCTTACCTGTCCTGTCATTACTTTTATTTCCATATCATTTTATTTTTATTTCCATCTTCCAGAGTATTTTGTGCTAACTTAGAGAAAGGGTCATGATGGTTTCCACAGTTGCTTAAAGACTGTGTGATATATTTCATGGCACAATTTTTATAACATAGAAATTGAAAACATTCGTTCATCTGTTACACTGAGTTCAACATTATGTAATTATCACAGAAGTTTTTACATTTCCTTTTTGAGTAAGATGCAGGTGTTAGCATTCCACAGACACAAGAACCTCTCTAGGCTATGTTCCTTGGAAGTGATGTGGGGAGCCTATGGTGAGCATTTCGTTTTTGCTTAGCAGCATTGTAATCAGTATTTGTCAAAGAGCAATTTTTTCCTTTGTTTCCTTTTTGAATTGATTGGGGTCAGGGGTTTTCAGTCCAAGCCTTGAACTTGGGATGTAGCTGAGAATAATTTTTCCATTTCTGATCTCTCTGCCTCCACTTTTCCCAGGACATGTGGTAGACATGTCACCACACCCAGGTTTTACAAGGACTTGGGATAGAACTCAGGGCTTCATATACACTAGCCAAGCACTGAGCTACATCCCCAGCCCTTCCATGGGAAATTCTACTTTAATTTACTCTAGGCAGAAACAACTATGAATTCGTTGTGTTTTATTTTGCTTTACTCTCTCTCTCTCTCTCTCTCTCTCTCTCTCTCTCTCTCTGTGTGTGTGTGTGTGTGTGTGTGTGTAACTCAAGGTGGACGCAAATTTGTTATATAGCAGAAGTTGGCCTTGAGCGTTCTTCTGGCCTCCCTGCCTCTACCTCCAAAGTACTGGGTTTATGGAATGTACCACAGGATTGGATTAAATACTTAAGTCCTGTTTTAGTGTTTCCTCACACAATGATTGCACATTTGTAAGATACGAATGCATTCAGAACTCCCACTTAACTGCAATGAAAATTAAAGGGACAGTGTTACATGCACGAGACCTCTTTGTGTCATGGTCTTTACACATCTTCTGTCACATCACAAGAAGAAGCTTTTCTCGTTTTAAAACTATATATGTGTTTTGGTTGAGAGCCTAGCCTTTAATGGCTGAGCCAGCTTGTTGTAGCCTACTCAGCATGGTGGGATGCCATGCTCAGCTTTAACTCCTGGCTTGGCCTTGCTCCAACTTAATGTGCCAGACTTTGTTGACTCCCCATGGGAGCCCTAACCTGTTGGGAGGAATGGGCTGGGGTGGGGGGAGGCATGGGGGAAGGGCAATTTTGGTTGGAAAGTAAATGAAATTTTAAAAACCATAAATATATGATTATTTTAAGAGTATGGGCATTGTGCTTGCATGCATGTCTATGTACTACATGTATGCCTGGTGTCCACAGAAGCCAGAAGAGGGTGTTGGATCCTCTGGAACTGGAGTTAGAGCAGTTGTCAAGTTGTGAGTCACCATGTGGGTGCTGGGAATTAAAGTCAGGTTCTCTGGATAAAGCAGCCAGTGCTCTTAATCACTGGTCCATATTCCAGTCTTTACTATGTATGTCTTTTTAATAATCTTTGGGGATATATATATATATATATATATATATATATATATATATATATATAGTCCTCTATGCCTCCCCTTAACTTCTCCCAACTTCATGTCCTCTTTTTTTTTTTTTTAATAACCCACCAAGGCAAATTTGTGCTGTCCATATATTCATGGGTGTGGAGAATCCACTGTAACATTGTTGGCCTAACAGGAGCCACACTCCCTGTGGTGGTTTGAGAGAAAATGGCCCAAAGGGAGGGACGCTATTATTGTTGAAGTAGGTATGGCGCTGTTGGAGGAAGTGTGTCACTGTGGAGTTGGGTTTTGAGGTCTCATATACGCTAAAGATACCACCCAGTGTTTCAGTTCACTTCCTGTTGCCTTTGGATCAAGCTGTAAGGGCTCTCATCTCCAGTACTATCTCTGCCTGTGTGCTGCCTTGCTTCCTACCATGATGGTAATAGACTAAGCCTATGAACTACAAGTGAGCCATCCCAATTAAATGTTTTCCTTTATGAATGTTGTCATAATTGTGGTGCCCCTTCACAGCAATAGAAACCCCAAGACACTCCTTTAAAGAAAAATTGACTCCCCTTTTCCTAGAAGCCATTAGCTATCAACAGCCCCTTAGCCAGAGATGTGACTCATGAGCCCCTCCATGTTCCACATTAGAATGTTAACTGGCTTGGTCTTGTGCAGATAGCCATGGCTGCCATGAGTTCCTGGGTGTGGTCATCCTGTCAAGTCCTAAGATGGTTTTTCTCTGGTCTTCTCTGACCTTGTCTTTCCACCCAGTCTTCCAAGACAGTCTCTCAGCCTTGGGCGAGGGTGGGATATTGATGTCCCATTCAGGGATGAACATTTCAGACACTTATTCTCTGCATTTTGGACAGTTGCTTCTTTTAACCATTGTCCACTGCAGGAGGAACCTTATCTGATGAGATCTGTCAGCATCACTGAGTGAAGGAATATGAATTTAGAGAGCAATGGACACTGTGTCCATTTAGCAAAATAATAGGAAGTTCACTCTGGGCCCATGAGCTCTACAGCCATGGGTTCTTGGTCAGATTTACAGTAACAGGCATTCATTTTTCTCCTGTGCAGTGTACAGAAAGGCAACAGTGGTCACCTGGATTGCTGAAGCAAGAAAGAGCTAGCCAGGACTCCTTCAAGGACCAGGACACCATGCCGTATCATAAGAGACTGATAGCAGAACCAAGCCTGGCTACATAATATTATTGTTTCTCTCACTTACAGCTTAGGGAATACAGTCCATCATTGCCTTGAACGTAGGATGGAAAGACAAGTGGTCACATTGCATCCACAATTAGAAGACAAAGTGCTTTGCCCAACAGAGGGCTTCCCAACTCTGGGTAGGTCTTCTGTCTTCATTTAACCTGTCCAGACAAACCTAAACATAACCAGAGCTGTGTTCCTCCATGGTGAATCTAAAGCCAATGAGGTTGTCAATGAAGGTTAACCATTGCAAAAATAGTGTCTGCCAATTTAGGAGAAGGTCTACCTGTAGTGTGGGCAGCCCTGGCATGGGGCTCTGCACTGAACAAAAAGAACAAACTGGAAAGAGTGGTGATATTCTGTTTATGATCTAACAGATAAAGTTCACCCAAAAATCAGAATTCAAAGCTACCACAGCCATAGAGGCCAGGCAGTGGTGGTACACACCTCTAATCCCCAGCACTTTCGAGACAGAGGCTGATGGATCTCTGTTGTTTCAAGGACACTCTGAGCTTCACTAAATTGATCCAGTCTAAAAGAAAAACTGTTAGGTTTTTCTGCTGGTCTGGTCCCAGCACTGCAAGAGACCCCAATAACACACTGAGACTCTGTATTTGATACAATGCTGTTGGCCAGTTACTTGTTTCTTATCGTCTAGCTCTGCCTTAAGTATTAACCCATTTCTATTAATCTAAGTATTTCCACGTGGTCTCATCTTACTGGAGAATGGGGGTCTGGTGTGCTGCTCTCTCCAGTCTCCCCATACTGTCTCCTCCCTACTCCTTCCTCTTTCCTCCTTGTCTCCTAGTCCCTCCTGTCTTCCTCTCCTATTGGCTAACAGTGCTTTATTCATTAAACAGTATGAGAGACATATTTACAGAATGACATCTCCCATCAAGAAACAAAGCTCATACAAAGATGATCTCAGCACTTGGGATCCCACACTTTTAATCCCAGCATTAGAGAGCAATACAAGAAGAGAGGAGATAGGAGCTCAGAGCAGCCTGAGGAGCAGTGCAGTTGGGAGCAGTGTGAGGTCAGTGGATCACCCCTTCGGTATGAGCATTGGCAGAGGTGAGAACTCCCTAGTGGCTGCTTCTCTGATCTTCAGGCAAGCTTTAGTTGTTAGATTGTAAACAGAATATCACCACAAGGCAGAGCAGCAGCACTCATGGCCTGACGGTGAATGTAATGTGACCATCTGCCTTTCCACCCTGCCTTCACTGCAGTGGTTGACTGTATTCCTTAAACTGTAAGTGAGAATAATAGCAATAAGATACATGAGAAAACCCTAACCTTTCTCTGTAAGTTGCTTATCAGATATTTGGTCAGAGAAATAGAAGAGAAACTAGTAAAATATGAATTATCTAAGTCATAGCAGACGAAGAAAACTACATTCTCCTGGACATGAATCAGAAGCTTTACTGTGAGTTTGATGTCTCTAATGCCAAGCACTTGTAATAGCTACACTCTTTTCCTGCCCTTGAGCTGCCTGTCTCCCAGTTCAAACATAATTAGTCTAAGCGTTAACAAGGAAAACATGCCAGTGC